AAACTTAGTTTTGACTTACCTGCCAAAGCGAACAACTTTGCTTTCATCGGGGTGGAGCCGCCGTTTCCTGATAAGCCCAAATTCGCTAATGCTACCAATAACTGCCACTGGGGTGGAGCCTGAGGGCAAAATGAGTTGTTTTGAAAGATATAAGAGGGTGCTATCCGGTGGAGTAACTTTGTAAAGTCGGCTTTGGACATGCGTGCCTAACGCAAAAGCGAAACAAAGATGATGAGTCTAATATCTGAGGGACAAATGAAAAACTTTGAGCTTACCACAGCTAGCCAAGTTCAATTGGTCTCATCAAACCACGCTTGAAAAGTTGCAGCCTTTGAGCTACCCCGAGGCCTACGATATCTAGGAAGAAGGTACCTTCTTGATTGGGCTTGATCTCGTGCTAACAAGAGAGCTGAGAGAATTGTTTCATCCTCATCTCGCTTTCGCTTCCGTTGATCCAGGTAGGAACTCTGGTGAAAGGTAGACACCATCAAGATCGTGAAAGTGAACATGATGATGCGTTCTTGATGTCCAAGATGTTGGTCTTCATCTGATTGATCACCATTGACGGAATTCATCGAGGATACCAGGAGTAAACAAGCAATCAAGTTTGGAATAAAAGTTGATGAAGTTGATGAAGTTGGGCTTGTGGTAGATTGAAAAAGAGAGAAAACTGATATAAAGGTGTCAAGTGATGACAGGATATGCCTGCGGACTGAGAGTCTAGGCATTTTCGAGGAGTTGAGAGTCTGGATGGGTGGGTGGGGCTCTCAAACATCTCTATGGCTACCCAATTAAAAAACCCGTCCAAAAAATATTGAAAATCAAATGGGTCGGGACGGGTTTTTCATTTGGGTTTTGATACGGGTTTTTAATGTTTGTGTACCCCTAATATTATAAGGGTTAAGGAAATTGATTCTAATGGGAGTATTAGGCGTGTTTGGTGGAGGATAATTGTTGACAGGTGAATCAGGTATAGGTGAATTATTGGATGAAGGCGCAGCAAGATAGGCTATCAAAATTAAATAAAGAAAAAGAATTAAAATTAGTAAAAGAATTAAATAAAAACATTGAAAATTATAATATTAAGAAAGAAGAAAGAAACAAGAGAGAAATTGGACTTACAGCATATTATTCCTAAACTATGGCATCTTTGGCAAGCAGGATTGATTTGGTAATGGCAAGAGGAGTGTACCATGCGGCATTGGACACAAGGTGAGGCTAAAGAGGGTGAAACAGTGTTGACCATGTTGGAAATAAAAGAAAATTCAAGAACTTAATGATTTAGAAGTGTTTTAATTGAATTGTTTAATTGATAAACTGGGGGCAGTTTGGAAGAAGAGGAGGATGTGGTGATCAATTTAAGGGATCAATCAAAAAATTCATAATTAGCAGTTTACCAGTTTATTAGAAAGATTTAGCAGGACAGAAAGTTCGAAATAGGGGTTTTTGGATCAATTGAAGCTCTTGTAGGCTTATGTATTGGTCATAAGGTTAACATTACATCATTTTATTTCACATTACTTATTAAGACCATTATAGTTTATTCACAAACTCATTACAAAAAGAAAGAAAGAAAAACATAAGAAAAATTTGAAAATATAGGTACATAGGTTGGAAAATGGTTTTTAGGGTAGTAAAAATAAAGTTATGGGTATTATGAGGTTCGAATATGAAAGAACAACATTAAATTATACTTGAAAATTTTAATCTTGAAGGTTGATAAGAAGAAACAGAATCTATTAGCAGAAAGGTACTTTTTCGAAGTTGGTAAACAAGAGGTACACATGTAGTTTGGTTATGTAATAGTGGTAGTAGTGGAATTTAAGGTTGCCAAGAGGATTTTCCGGGATTTTTAAGGTTATAAAAGATGATTTCATATTACATGAGCAAGAAAAAGAGAGTAGCAGCTGTGAAAAGTGAAGAAAATGGGTGAATTTTGTCAAAAATGAAGGTTTTCAGCTCATTACATATGTCAAATGATGTCAGATTAGGTTGGTAGATGGCTCATTCAACGCAGAAGAGTCGATTACATAATTTACAAACTTTAAATCAATAGTAGCGGAGGTGTATGAAAAAAGGTATAAGGCAAATAAAGAATTGGTGTGAATCTCAAATTTACAGTCACAAGGTAATGCTAAAACCCTTAACTTCACAACTCAATATCTGACTCATAACTCATCAGAAATAGGTCATATGGGTGTCATAAATGATCAGTAACACAAGGGCTACAAGATGCACTTTAGTAATCAAAAATTGGAGCACATCAGAAAAAAGTTGTAATCTCAAAATTTGGTTTTCAGCTAGTTTACAAGGAAAAAATCACCTGTAATCATCATAAGAATTGCTGTACATCATATTATTGCGTCATTGATCACTTTTTGCTGTGAAAATTACATCATTTATTAGTAACAAAATCATTACATTGCGCCGTCATCATAGGGTTTTTAGGGATTTCTGGGCGGATTTGATTGGTTTTGAGGCTTTTGACCATTGTAAAAGTGGGAGTACATTGTTATATATACTTTGAGAAGATTTTGGGACTGCTGTTCCCCTTTTTTCTTTATCATTTACGCAGTTATTATTTTGTTTATCATTATAAACTTATTTTAATAGTACCTGGTCACTTAAATACGCCCTTTATTATAGCTATAAAGGGAAATTTATTTTAGTTTTATAGTCAAAGAGACTCATTGGGAATAATATCAATAAGATATTGCTTATTTCTTCATTTATCATTTGGGAATAACACTATAGCAGTGTTGATAGTAATAAAAATTGTGCTTTGAGGTTAAAAATACATGTGAAGATATATTTCTCTGGTGCCTTATCTGTACTCAATACAACAGAGTCTTTTTCCTGATTGTGTTATGTTTTTTCGTGGATTCTTTTGTTTTGATTATTGTTTGAAATTGAAATTTCTTGATTCGTGAGTTTCGAATACTTTCTTATTCAAAAATTTATGAAACGATAACACTAAATTGGTGATTTCAAGAATTGAGAAACTACGTCTATGAGGAGCTGTGGTTGATGAGGTGTGCAGTGCGTGAGAGAATTGAATCTTGGAATAATTCTCTTCGCCTGGGCACGGGTACGTGACATGTGTCTTTACATGTCACCTTCTAGTTCACAGCTCATGGATATCTTTGTTTGAGTTGTGGCCTCTAGACAACGCGTCGGCAGGGTTGTTCTCTGAAGTTACTCTAGTTTCTTTCAGATCACACTGATATCTAGTAAGTAAATCTTGAATTACTTTTCATTCCTCGTCTACCAAACGATCTTTTGACTTCCAATTGCGGACGACCCCTTCCGTGGTCGTGTTATCTGTGTGAACTATGAACCTTCTTCCTTCTGTTTCATATTTTTTCCTCACCATTAATAGTCCTAATCTGATGACAATCGTTTCTGCCCATGCTATTCTCCTAGGTTCTTCTCCTTGTTTCAGGTTAAATGTTTCCCAGCCTTCTAGCAGCTCAAACATTGCCCAGGACGATCCGACCTTTACACCTAAGCCGTACGACGTGGATGTGTCTCCATACCAGTTCACTTCGCACAGTTCCTTATCTGGTAGCATTTGTAAGTTTTTAAAGTTCTTTAAAGTATGGTCCCATTGCTGAAGATCTTCTTTCACTTCGTCTGGTAGGTACTTTTTCACCCACTGGTTTCCCCATGCTTTCTTACAGTGGTGCATCGACCTCATGTATGGTTTCATGTGTGGCAGGATTAACAACGTATGGCACAACCTTCCTACAAAGCCTTCAAATTCCTTATAAGATACCCGTTCTTTCGTTGTGAGCATCTTTTCTGTTTCTTCTCTTTGTTCATTCAGCTTGCCTTCAGGTAATCTGACCGTATGTTCAATGACATTCCATATGAAGCCAACATATTTCTGTTCGGCATCGAAATCGTGGTATTTTGTGTCATTTGTCTTCACTCCGAGTTGGTTGCTGACTCTCACTACCTGCTGCATCGTCACTCTTGACTCCGGGCGTTTCAGTAACATGTTATCATCTACCCAACGGAAGATTTTTGGAATTGACAGTTTAATCTCAATCAACTCCTTCCACGCGTCCGCTGGTCTCCCAAAGATTCCACACCCAGCCACGCCTCTGAACGCAACCCTTGTGTCTACCCATAACCCATCTTCAAAATCCTTCAGAATTAGGTACGGCCATTGGTCCGGGTCGGTGGGAGTTTGGCGGTATGCCTTTTCCCAGTCAAATATCGCTAGAAGCCACACGCCTGGGTTATCTTTGAAGAAACGTACGACTTTCTGGAAATTGTCCCATGTTGTTTTGAAATGTTTCTTGTTGACAAATGAGTTTACTGACGGTATTCTCTTCTTCTTCCTAGGATACAACAAATCATGGATTACTCTGAAAGTTCCATCGCCATTGATGGTGCTTCCCATTGGGCTCAACCGGAAAAATGGAAACCATTTGCTTAACTGTTCATGTGAGAAAGGGCCATAGATTTGTCCTTCTGTTCTCTCTTTTTTCAGTGTGTTACGTATCTTCTGTCGTACTTCTGAAGCTGACTCGTGGTTATTGGGGGTGTACCAGGGAAGTCTCCCTACTTTATGTTCGGGTATTCCTTGAGGGAAGCCAAACTGGAAACCTTCTATTACATCCGTGAACTTATTGAGGATTCTGGCTTCCCTAAGCTGGCATAGCCATTCTCCTATGTTCATCTCACACCGTACTCTACATGGCCACGGTCTCTGGTCTTCCGGTCTATGGATTTTTCGTACGTATAAGCTCATCTTTTTTGCTTCTTCTTCTTCTTCTTCTGATTCTTCTCTCTCTGATCGCATGAACTCATGTTCCGCTCCGTAGTCATCACTCTCAGATCCGTTGAAGTACTCTTCTTCAGAGTCATCTTCAGAGCTTAACTCACATGTTTGTGACTCAGATCTTGGGCTCTCGCTCCGTTGGCTTCTGTAACCACTGCGATCACTGTTTTTTCTGGGCAAGGGCAAGGGCAAGGGCAAACATGAGTATCTATCATTTTCTGGCACTGGCTTGGAAACGGTCAGTGGTAAGAGCTGGGTTGGGGCGCGATGTGGAGTTCATAGCCAGCGTAGGCACTTGATCTGGACAGATCTGGGAACTTCTGGTTGCTGGACCATGATAGCACAATGCCTTTTGGCTGCATTTCGATTCAGGTGGGTTCTGTTTAAGTTTTAATCAACTCACTTCCTCTTGGTGTTGTTATTGTTACCCTTTGTTTGGGGTTTAACATGATTTGACGACCGACTATCAGTTCTATAGTCATCTCTATGATCGTTTCTACGCTCATCTCTACAATTGTCTTGTTTGTAGCGTCTTGGGGATTGTGCTCGTCGTACGGGGGATCTCAATCTGTTGTCACGTCTAGGTGACCATCTGTCGCCTCTGCCTCTAAACCAACCACTTGAATCCCTGTCGTCGTCCCTTTTGTAATCGGAATGGTTGTAGGAGCTCCTTCCATAAGCTTTCCCTCTGCCCCTTCCACGTCTTCCCCTAAAGCCACCTCTGTTGCTCGGCTTAGAGTTTGAATAGGAAGATTTGTCTTTGGTAGATTTGGACGTCTCTTCTTTTAAGTCTGATTTTTTGTAAGTCTCTCCTTTCTCCTTCTCCGCTGTTTTCAATAGTTTCGGTATCTGATCTTGACATTTGCCTCCTTTGGCGTACGGATTGTCGTGGCAGTCCCATTCTCTGAATTTGTCTACAGTCCGTCTAGCTTTCTCCTCTAGCTTTTTCTGCCTCACTGACGGGTCTCCGACTTTTCCACCTTCTACTCTGATCGTCCAAATCTGGCGGCGTACAAGGATATCGTATTGGAGTGCAACCATCCAGTTGTCGTCGTTTTCACTTTTGATTTCTTCAACGTTCTTTTTGTGTCTTTCAAATTTAGTTGCTAGGCGATGAAATTCAAACCAATTCCTCAAGTATTCAAGCATCAAGTTGAAACATGTCACCCAGTCTCCGTAGCTTAGACGTAGTTTGGCAGGGTAAGTGAGGCCTTCGTAAGTCTCGTCTTCTGAATCTGAGTCATTTTCTTTCTTCTTCTTCTTGGACTTCTTTCCTTCAACTTCCCGGTTTGCTTCTAGCCAGGCTCTGTTGAACATTGAGACTGGTACGTAACCTTTCACCTTCCAAATTTGGTTATCCCAGAAAACTGTCAGCTGGGCCATGTGATGACTGGGAACCACGCCGTCTGCAAATTCAATTCCGTTCTTGACGAAACCTCTGCCGGTTGGCCCTCTCGCGTGGTCTTCATCATCGTCAGACATAGGTCTGCCTCTTGGGATCATTCGTTCGGCAGCTCTCGCGGGTTTCAGTTTGCCTGGGGTGTTAGAGGTGGGATTGGTTGGAGGTTTGGGGATGGGCTCATTCGGTTGGTTCGGTTGCAATGCCGTTGAATGTGTCTTGGACATCTTTGGCTGATTGTCTGGTGGTTGGTCTGTTTCAATAGCTAGAACTTTTAACTTCTCCGGTTGGTAGCGTAGGAGGTACAATGTCATGAGTTCCGCGTGTTTATCGTACTGGTGTTTATGATCAAGCGCTTCTCGAATTTCCAAGAGTGCCGCTGCTTGAGCTTGTGATGGGCCCGAGGGGCCTGCGGTCGGTTCCCTAACCTGTTGCTTCTTCCCTGTAATTCGCGACAAGATCACTCATAAGTTTTTGTATTCCTTCTGCTGCTGTTTAAGCCAAAGATCTTTTGCAGTTCAATCTTATGTGATCATACAGGATAGACGGGGATCGTAGCGTGCCCGAGTCCGTTATGGGGACTTATACAAGGGCCTTCTCACTGGTATGGAGTGAGGTACGTTAATAAATGTTTGTCATATAAGACTAGCCTTTATGGGGCCTCTGACTCATCCTTATATGCGGAATAATTGTCAGGTTCAAGGAATGCGAGCGAACGTGCGGTTACGGTCGGCCTCTATTTCAGCTGGGCAACACACATGAAGTGAAAAGAAACTCCCAGCAGCTCAAATTGTTTACAATGTAAAAGGATGAAGAGAAATGATTTGCCGGTGCGCTTTGGTTTGGACCTCACCTTTAGTTATGGAAGGGCTTGATACTAAGCCAGCCAGCAGCCTTCTTGCTTCTCTATCCTCGTCGTCCGGTTCTTTCTTGACTTGTTTGATTCTGACCCACGACGCCTCTTCTTCGCTTGATCCTTCTTTGTAGTCTTCCATATACTCTAAGGAACTTTCACTTGCTGGAGCATCTTGCTCCCTGTTTGCGACCGTCTTATGGTTGTTGGCATTGTTGCGCTGCGTGAATCCTGATGGTTCTTGTGTGGTCTTCCTTGATGGTTGTCAAACCGGTAAGTGTTGGCAAGCTACTTGATGTGGGTTGACGTTCATCTGAAGCTTCTTTCTCGTTTCTGTTTCCTTCTTGATTTTGCACCTTCTCCACCGTCTTCTGATGCACGTTCTGACTATCTGGGTTGCCGGGACCTTTTACAATGATTCTCTTTATCACCCCTTCTTGATTAGGTTCGGTCGTGTCTTGTTTACGTTTTGTGACCTGCTTCTTCGGTAGTTGTGCTGGAGCTAGGTGGAGGGGGTGCTGGTGTCTTGCTGAAACCGCGTAGTTTGCGTTTCTGGTCTGCTACTTCTGGAAAAAGCTCATTGCTTGCGTTTTGTGCCATTTGATCTATCTATGTGACTATTCTTAATTTAGGATTGTTGAGTTTAAATAAGGTTGTTTGTTGTTGAAAAATTTGATGAGAGATCAAATATAAGCTATGAGCTGTGGGGTAGAGGTAGCGTACTGAGAAGCTTGAAGATTTTCCTGTATTGGAAATCTCAACTTCTCTCGAGTCTCTTCCTGCTACATAAGGGTTATGTCCCTTATGTTGCTTTACGCTACCTGTACCCGCTCATACTCCACCCCGTAGACAGCGGTCCAAACTGCGTCCGAACCTCACATCATGACGTATCCGCGTTGTCAATGACCTATTAGAATGGCATGGACTGCTTTGGCTGGCATCATGTGAAGTCAGCAGTACGAATTCCGAATGGAGAAATCTGCGTGTCGTAAGTAGCCAATTTGTAGTGGGTAGCAGTAGCCGCTACAAAATTTCACAGCCCTTCGGTTACTCCCTGCGGTTCTGTGCAAAACTCACGCCTCGCCGAATGGGGCTCTCGGATTCCAAGAAGCAGCGGATTTTCTGGGATTTTCTGGGATTTTCTGGACAAACAAAGTCAAAGTTCCTTGACGAAATTGCAAAATTGTAGTGTACCGATTTGGTCATGACCTACGTTTGTAATTTATCGTATTGTCTGTGCAACAAGTGTTGATCTTTTGACTACACGCTGGACTCGATTGAGTCAATGGGTGTGACTCTCGAGATTCTGGCTGTCGACATTAATGAAAGCATTTTGAAAGTATGAAATTCTTTCTTCACCCAGGAAAGTCGTCTTCGCTCAATGAACCCAAGTTTTGTACGACGTACGTACGATCTACGTACCATGCACGAACGCTTCATGAACCTATAAAGCATCCACTAGAGAGCACATCATTGCGAACATCTCTCAAGTTTCCCTCCCATCACGCTCCGCGGTTTGTTGATTTGTGCCATATTGGTCGGTCACAAAAATAATCAGTTTACCACCACATCAAGTTTCTTGGGGAGAGTGCTCATCAACTACCTACCCTGACACCAACTTGTCCTATATCTTCAATTCGAATTTTGCAATACTTCTCCATGCTGTTTGAAGAATTGGAGCAACAGCTCCTCTTCAACTCATTAGGTGGTATGTTGGCTGGAGGCATGACAGCATCTTGGATCGCCGGAATGGCCATCGTTGAAGGACTTCGAGCTGTTCAAGACCTATGGCTATATCCGTCTATCGCCTTTAAGACGTACATTACGGGCCTTGTGGCACTCTCCATGGGCATCACAGGGTCAGTGTACCTTACTTGGCTGGTTAAATGGACTACCCTCATTGACTGTTTACCTTTGAATTTTGATTTACAGACTATTTGGAGTAACTCTTTACCACCATTTAATTAAGTTTTTCGGCGACTATGATAGCGTAGATCGCATATATCCTCTTCTGAGGTGTGTGCAATCATTGTCTAATTTCCGTCATTAAGCACTATTCCGCTCCTCAGTTCCATCGTGGCAATCGATTTTGCGAAGCGTACTAATCAGAAATCCTTAACAAAAATAGGTATCACTTTGTGTTATGTCGGGTAGTGCGTCGCTTGTCTTGTTTCTATCCCTTTTAGCTCAACATGAGAATCATAGGCGTCATATGGTTCGTGAAGTTGACAACAGAAATTTCTTCCTTGTTTACGACGAGCGCAGTGTGTGGTACTTAGTAAGTTGAAGCTCATAAACGTGCATCCTACTTTGAGCACAGCCGATCAAGAAAGACTTACTTTATGAACGAGTAAACAGACCACATGCAATTTTCGTATGGTGCATTCAAGGTCATCAGTCGCATGCGTGGTCTATATCTCCCATTGATCCTTATGATAGTCGTGGGAGTTCTCGTCCTGGGTAGTGGACTAGCCTCCGGTATCGCAGTGTACAACTTTTTCCAGCAGACAAGCTACTCTGTTGTGCAAACCAAGCTGGGAATTTGGCAAGCGTAAGTCTTTCGACGCTCTTATGATTTCCGAACTAGAGGATCCCTCTTTTAACTTACTGACATCTATATAAATGACTGGTACCGGACTATAGGATGTTTTTCATGGAGGTTAGTACAATCTCAAAGATTTTGTCGACCTATTCCACATCTATAGCGACAGGCAGTCGGACCATCTTGTGACGCATTGTAGTATTCCCACATTGACGTGTGTTCACATTGGTCACAGTTTGCATGTCACTTGGGTCTGACGGCAATGAGGGCGGTTTATATGTACAAGGCAAATGATATCAAAGCCGTCATCACTCATGCAGGACATCCGTACGTTGACATAGTATTGTCCTCTCTTGAACATATGACCCAAAGGGCTACCCTGACAGTTTTATACCCATCAATTGGCTGGTACAAGCATCCGATACGTTGCGGACATATGTTTGCTAGTCGCTCGGACGCCAACCTACAATACTATCTTCGCCTTGATCACCATGTGCGTGCTTGATGGTGGCACATTTGGCACACGATATTTCCTGGTGTACAGTCGATTATTCTCTCATTTTGAATATATTCCAACTCAGACTGATATACGTACATCACTTGATTCTCCATTCTATCCAATTAGCTTTGGTGGTTCTCAGTTGGCTTTAGTGGCTATGGTGAGCCTGAAACAGGTTACCGAGAATTCATTATGACTGCAACACTCACTCCTCGACACCCGTGATGTTCAGTTTGCGTCTGCCAGCTACACATTTTCATACCTCATAGACGAACCACACCATGCTCGTGCTACCCCTGATGGGGAACACATTAAAGGCTTTCCAGACGAGTTACTCGCGTTCAATGACCGAATGCACAACAGCGTAAATGAAGCCATCTTTTATTTAACTGCTGCCATCCGTGACTCCAAAGAGACTGATCAATCATGCATTTCAATTATCCCCACTCGTATGATCAGAGGCTTCATGCTCAGAGACTTGTTCGCCCTCGACGGACTCGTCCAAAGCCAATTGACGAGCTTGTAGAAGATGAAGACGAATTCGCAAGTGATGGTATCAAGATCGAGGAAATCACTTCGCCCAAAGGTCTACCAAGCTCGTAATACGATTAACTTACATAGGCTCCTGTATCCAATTCCGCGTCTTGAATCCGTTTGAGTCATGTACAGTATACCGGGCCTCTTGTCACCTATTCACGTCATCTTTTTGTTCTCTACATGTCCTATCGAAATATCAAATCAAACCCAAGTTGGATATCATGGAAGGCGTTTTATCAGGAATCCTTTGCATTATCTTCGTTTCCCTAATCTATGATGCCAAAATGTTGGCTACTTTCACTACTCTCTTCCTTATCTCTTTCCAGCTTGAAGCGCTACTACGTTCGTTTCATTTGCAATCAACATTTGCGTGGCATCATCAGGGTACATTTCAACACCCCAATCCTTTTTGTGGGTCAGAAACAGACTGCCATGGAGCTCATCAACCAGTATCTCATTTCGTGTAATCTCCTCTGCCTACCTTCAAGAACCCTACCGTGAAAAATTTGCAATGAGACATGAGATAGAATTCACTGTCATCATAATTTCTCATACTTTACCATTCAGTACTCAGCTGTAATCAGCGCTCTGAGTCTAGTGAATGACATCGGACTTTTCCAGTGAACCCCATTTCACGTTCAAGCTTATGATCCGGTATCACGACAAGAGAGTAACCGAAGGACAGTGGACTTGGCGAGCATGGGTGAGCATTCCCGGACCGCGTCGCAGTCGGTACACCCCCCTACACATAATTTCAATAACCACTTTGGGCCAGATACAAACCCATGACTGCCGTATCCGGCTAAATACAATATCACATCACATCCACCTATCATCGACTACTTCTGGCTTTAGATCATCCAAATTATCACATCACCAAACCGCATCCTTAATCACAGTTAAGCACATATATCATGCATGTCTTTGTTCAAGAGCAAAACGTACCAGAACACGTACAATATGTTCATTCTTACAAATTCATATGATCCCATCGGTTTTGGTCCTCTTTCTCAACTGATAATGATACAATGCTTTGCAGAGAAGCATGTTATTATGCTGATAAGTATGTAAAGAGATGAAGTATCGAGGATTGTTGATAGAACATTTTGCAGAATATTGGAAGGGGAGTGCAATTCAGTAGCCGCTATACGTTAGCGGCTAATCCCTGCTAACATCTACACCGCAGTTGTCTGTACTACAATCCAATTCCCTAAATACGCATCTGTGTGACACCTCTTCCCTATCTAGATCTACCCACCTCCGCTCGTCCATCCCCTTCCCGTGCATGCCAAAACAACCGGCTCCAAGTCATTCCAGCCGTATATTCGCAAAGGGCCACATCCTCATCCCGAAGGAAGCCAGGTGCATGGGTCAGAAGTCTTTAGCTTTAAGCTTCTCTGGCATCGACCCGCGGCATTACTTGCCTACTTAGGATTAGGCGAAGTTGTTGTCCTTGAGCATATCACCGTGTCCATGTGGCAGTCTCTCGAGGACGAGCGCACACGGACTCCCTTTGAGGCACAAAGGCAACTCATGCGCTTGCCGACGAGCAAACATCAGACAAACACGGTGTATGTGTCCCGGATTGAAGATCATCGCCTCTCTTATTGCTTGAGAGAAAGGCGATATGGTGACCTTGTGAATGGCTTGTATTGGAGATGTTTGCCGAGCTTTTTGCCCGAGTGTCCTTTGGTGACACTGCGAAGATAATATATTTTTCCATGGTGAAAAATGATTGAAACCAGCAATTGAAATGGCATGCTTCACATTGGTCCAAAAAATCTGAAAAAATCAGGTAAGTAAAATTGTGTGATTTTCTTTCCGGTGGGAGATTTTGGCGGATACAGAAAAATTCTAGCACTCTGTCTGTTAATTTCCCAGATTTTTTGGCAAGATAGACAGAAATGCAGAACTTGCGCACTCATTCAAGCCTCCAAAATTAACAAGAACAAGCCAGAAAAAAAATCATAAGTGAAGGACAGCATTCCCTTTGTTGAACATTTTTTTCAGGATCTTGCTGGCTCAGTATGTATACCATCACATATGTATTGTTAAAACTATATATATTATGCTGACATATGTACAAGGCTCCAAAATTACCCAGGAAATTTTTTGCAACACAACAAAGGATGTGCCATTATGTGGAAAAAAATTCAGGATAATCCGTCCACATTTCATACATTGGTGACCCAAAATACATTTACAATTTATTTGGTGTTATACCTTGCATATATCCAAGACAAAGGCACCAAAAAATATGAAAAAATAACCGAACAGCACAAAGGGCATTTTTGATCTGTTCTGATTTTTCTGGATTTTTTGACCTGCTGTGAGCTTCCAAAAACCAGAAAAAGTATCAGGAATTGCTTGCTGAGTTACTTCTGAGTAAAACAATCGAAGCAAGATGAAAAAAACGTTCAAGGACAAACAGCATTGTATCTCTCTGCAATCCGTTTTCCAAGAATTTTGGGCTAAAACTGGGCCCTAAATTTCGAAAACGATTTTTCAGCAATCATTTTAAAATAAATGCAATCATTTTTCACCATGGAAAAATATATTATCTTTGCAGTGTGGGTCGGTGAGCATATTGTCCCGGAATGTTGGTCTTGGCCTGTGGGCTAAATTCGTCCCGGAAGGATGATGAGTGGTTGTCAACGCCAGATGTATATGTGACATCTACTTTGGTTGAGTGCGTGAGAAGATGTCTTGATTCGGAAGTTGCGTGTACAAAAGTGTCAGGTATAGCGGTTAGCAGTTAGCCGCTAAGTTATTGCATCCCCCTTCTGATGCTCCCACATTTTGGTATCATGCATACTTGCATCTCCCGCTGAGGTCTTATAGACAACATCGCGATTTTGAGTTCTGCTTAAGCGCACACACAGGTTGCTTTCTGTGTCTTGAACGCAATTCCGAGTCGATTCAGACCTTGTACCCTCTCGTACCTCTAAAAACCATCGATATCGCGAGGAAAAGTGTCTGGACTCTGAGGGTAAATGAGAGAATTATGGGTTTGGAGTGATGGGTCTAGATGGGTCAGACCGTCAGATTGTTTGTTTTGCAAATGTCATAGATACAGCTGTACCAGTCCATCACAATTTCACACGAGTTCCATTTATGTGACGTGTGACTCTATCAATGATGAGCGCTTTCAGCCGCTTCCAAAAGCAGTGCTCACCTGTGCTTGGCTATACAGCGCTCACGTGGTTTATTCACCCTTCGAATTCTCTGCACGACAAGGACCACCATTGCCAAGCACCTCAACAATGTACCTTTTCAGTTTGACTCTACCTACACATCAAAAGACACTTGTAATGCTAAGTAGATTACATGTTCAACGCCGATCACATTTGTCTCGGGCTCAACCTCTGTCCAAGTTCTTGACTTTCTAAAAAGAATACTCATCACCATCTCACATCCCATTCTCTCAGTCTCTTCCTTTTTAGTAAGTAAGCTAAAGGTATTAAGTTTGTATGCGTGTGACTTTGGTTACTCCATCTTTGTGCGTGTGTCTCATTTCAGCTCTCATTGTTTCTATATATTTTATTTTTATTCATTCTATAAATATATCTTTATACTCTTTCTTTTCTAAGCAATCACTAGGTAGGTTATCACCTTAGTCAGGTTCTAACCTGGTGTGTGGGGGGGGCCGTAGGCCCGGGACTGCCTGTCCAAGAAAGGGTTTTCTACCTCCCAATCTCTGGACGGGTGGCATCCTGAGCCCGTCGAAAACTCACTTACGGCAACAGTCCAGGCCGTACAATTCCTGTACTCGCCATGTATATGATCTGCAATTCAATCTTTACAAACTTTATTTCACAATTTCAATTGCATCACATGTTTGTTCTCTTGCCCTCATCCCCCTTCTTCTATTTCTCTTAAACTTCAATCTTGCTCATTCTCCTTCTGATCTGCGGGCAAACAGATTAATGAGCTTCTTTTTCTCACTTCCCACTGCTACAAAAAAACTCACATATGTCTCTGCCAATCTTCAAATTCTAACAATTTCCACAACTCTCTTATTTCTTTCTTTTCGTCTTGATTATATTTTCTCAGGTATAGTTGATAGGCTTTCGATTGCCATCTACCAATTGTTGTGATCTCTTCTATCAGCCTTTTTTCATTCCATCTTAGGGTCGCTCCACCTACTCGGAACGAGTGGCCCAAAAGGTGAGTGGTTTCCCCATTTCCTTTCCATACTCTTTTGAAGATTCTCATCAATTTTGACTTCAAGATGGTGCTTCTTGTTCCATCTTCCTCCAGATATGAAAATAATGGGTCATTTGGTCCCGTTTTATTCTCTCTTACTATCCTTTCTAACGCGATTGTTGCATCTAGATACGATTGTTGTAGTTTAAGCTTTATATATTGAATCTGACCTAGTTGTGCTGTTTTGGCATTGAAGATCACAATTGTCACTTTATCACCATCGTTTGACCAAGATACATCTTTTCTCCTTGCTAACTTTTTCTTCTTATCATCCGACACTAGCTCTCCTAACCATGCCATTTCCCAGAATGCTACCAACACGACTGCTAGAGCTACCTGATCCCTCTTGCTTCCTTTTGATAACACTCTGAACAATTGTACTAAATGCCTTAACATTTTTGGTTTCTTTTGTTCTTTCTCCGACTCTCTTATCGCCGCCTCCGCCACTTTCAA